GAAAGAAAGTTGCAGACCCCTGCCCTAAGCGAATCCTCTCCACGCAAACCGGCAGTGACAAATTAAGATCTTTTACATGCTTGTGACAGGAACGTTTTTGAGCTTAACAGGCAAAAATTATTTTTATACAAACAGATTCTCCCTCTCCTCCCCCCCCCAATAAGATTATTGAAAGTCTTTCGCTTTACGAGAATGTTATTTTAGAAATCTCACAGAGAGGAGGGAATTGCCATCCATCCTGTTCAGACAGGCAACACAAACAAAAATGATAGATTTATATCGTGCAATTTCTGAAATCCGGGAAACTTATACTGTAAGCAAGAAACTGGGTACAAGTTTCAAACAAACGTGATTTATTGCAGGGGTGTCAAACTGGATTTCTTCCAGCGCCGAATCAGCATTGTAGTTCTCCGCGGGCCGGAAAGGGGGGGGGGTGCTCGAGGATGGGACGGACGCTTCCTGCAGCACCCTGCCGGCCAAAACGGGGCACAGGGGAGCCTCACGCAGTCCCCCCCCCGTGCCCCGTTTTTGGCCTGGACGGCTTCCTGCAGTACCCTCCCGGCCAAAATGGGGCATGGGGGGGGGGCCTCACACAGCCCATGCACCCCGTTTTCGGCCTGGATGGCCCCCTGCAGCACCCTGCCAGCCAAAATGAGGTGTGGGGGGCTGTATGTGGCCCACCCCGTTTTGGTCGGCAGAGTGCTGCAGGAGGCAGTCCAGGCCGAAAATGGGGCGGGGGGGAGGCACATGTGGCCCCCCCTGCTCCCCATTTTGGCTGCCAGAGGCACCATGGGCCAGTCCTTTTCTGTTTCCAGGCTGGCCCCACGGGCGTTGAGTTTAACACCCCTGATTTATAGTCTTCAGTATAGGTAGTCCTTGGCTTACAACCACAAGTGAGCCTAAAATGTCTGTCTTGTTAAATGAGACGTTGTTAAGTGAGTTTTGCCCCATTTTACAACCTTTCTTGCCACCGTTGTTAAGTGAATCACTGCAGTTCTTAAGTCAGTGGCACGGTGGTTGTTAAGTGAATCTGCCTTCCCCCAGATTGACTACAATTCTCAGATGTTATTTATCTATTTATTCATTTGTACCCTGCCTTTATCATGTCCAACACATCTTCCTCTTCCTATTTTCCCCATAACAACAACCCTGTGAGGTAGGTTGGTTGTCTGAGAGAGAGACTGGTCCAAAGTTTTCAAAGTCCGGTTTTCATGCCTGAGGCAGGACTAGAACTTCCCATCTCCTAGTGATTGGCCCAAAGTCACCCAGCCGTTTTCATGTTTAAGGCTGGACTAGAACTCCCAGCCTCCTGGTGATTGGCCCAAAGTCACCCAGTGGTTTTTAACGTTTAAGGCTGGACTAGACTCCCAGTCTCCTGGTGATTGGCCAAAGTCACCTAGTGGCTTATATGCTAAAGTGGGACTAGAACTCCCAGTCTCCTGGTGATTGCCCAAAGTCATCCAGTGGCTTATATGCTTGAAGTGGGACTAGAACTCCCAGTCTCCTGCTGATTGGCCCAAAGTCACCCAGTGGCTTATATGTTAAGGCGGGACTAGAACCCCCAGTCTCCTGGTGATTGGCCCAAAGTTACCCAGTGGCTTATATGCTTAAGGGGGACTAGAACCCCCAGTCTCCTGGTGATTGGCCCAAAGTCACCCAGTGGCTTATATGCTTAAGGCGGGACTAGAACCCCAGTCTCCTGGTGATTGGCCCAAAGTCATCCAGTGGCTTATATGCTTAAAGTGGGACTAGAACTCCCAGTCCTGGTGATTGGCCCAAACTCACCCAGTGGTTTATATGCTTAAGGGGGACTAGAACCCCTCGTCTCCTGGTGATTGGCCCAAAGTCATCCAGTGGCTTATATGCTTAAAGCGGGACTAGAACTCCCAGTCTCCTGGTGATTGGCCCAAACTCACCCAGTGGTTTATATGCTTAAGGCGGGACTAGAACCCCCCCGTCTCCTGGTGATTGGCAGAAAGTCACCCAGTGGCTTACATTCTTAAGACGGGACTAGAACTCCCAATCTCCTGGTGATTGGCCCAAAGTTACTCAGCCAGCTTTCATGTCTAAGGCGAGACTAGAACTCACTGTCCCCGCTTTTAGCTTTGTGCCTTAACCACTCGACCAAACTGTGGTTCTTTTACTATTAGTTATAATACTTCTTTTCCGATCTGTCCTACCTCGAAGGGTTGACAGTTGACGTTGAATTTTTAAGGCGCTGAACAGTTCTGTGCCTATGCCAGTGCCTGTAGGATTTTGCTACAGTGGTCAAATAATGTCCTTGAGAAGATGTCCCAGCTTCTAGACATTTGACTATCCGGATTGTGAGAACGGAACTTTTTCTGCATGGATTTGAGGCATTAGAACGTCCCCCTCGCTGCTTCAAACTTTTCTGTTGATTTGCCCTACGTTTGACTGACCTCTAAACTGTCCATTGCTCAACACAACACAACCTCTCACCAACTTCTCTCTGTGCCATCAAAGCTGTTCATCTCTAGGGATTTGCAAAGCTCTTGAAATAAGAAAATGAACTTCAAATGTACCCTGTTTCCCCGAAAATAAGACCCAAACGGAAAATAAGCCCTACATGATTTTTCAGGATGCTCGTAATATAAGCCCTACCCCAAAATAAGCCCCAGTTAAGATTGTCAGCCAGATGGATGCATTTAGTACCGTATTTCCCCCCCAAAATAAGACCTAATCAGAAAATAAGCCCTAATTTGGAGCAAAAATTAATATAAGGCCAGGTCTTAATTTTCGGGAAAAGACGATAGGGGAACTGTTTGCAGGGCCTAGGCACGGATGCATTTATGATTTGCAAGGATATTCTGATTTTCCACCAAAAATTATATTTAGGCCACCGAGCAATTATCAAATATCCACAGAAATCGCTAGCCTTTGTGTAATTATACACAACCTTGGTAGTACAGTGGTCTAAAGCACCCTGTTATTAAGAACAGCTGCCTGCAATTACTGCAGGTTCGAAACTCGCCAGGCTCAAGGTTGACTCAGTCTTCCATCCTTTCTAAGGTAGGTAAATTGAGGACCCAGTTTGTGGGGGCAATAAGCTGATTTTGTATAAATATACAAAAAGGATGAAGGCTATTGCTTAGCACATTGTAAGCCGCCCTGAGTCTCCGGAGAAGGGCGGCATATAAATCAAATTAAAAAAATCAATAAATTATGAATTGTTGAAGATTCTGGCAATTTTTACTGCTGGGATAGTCAAACCTCATCAGTTGCAAACATACAGTGGGGCAAAAAAGTATTTAGTCAGCCACCAATTGTGCAAGTTCTCCCACTTAAAAAGACGAGAGAGGTCTGTAGATTGACATCATAGGTAGACCTCAACTATGAGAGACAAAATGAGAAAACAAATCCAGATAATCACATTGTCTGATTTGGAAAGAATTTATTTGCAAATTGTGGTGGAAAATAAGTATTTGGTCAATATCAAAAGTTCATCTCAATACTTTGTTATATATCCTTTGTTGGCAATGACAGAGGTCAAACGTTTTCTGTAAGTCTTCACAAAGTTGGCCCAGACTTCCATTTTGGCCAGAAAACAAAGCCACAATATAAATCTTCTTACTAATCAAATCCAGGGCCGTAGAAACAAAATCAAATTAAAGCCAGAAAATAAAAAAAAATATTCACCTGTGCACCTGCCAGAAACAAGGACAACCCATAACATTTTTTTTAAAAGTATGAAAGTTTACAAACATTTTACTTCCCGGAATGGATGGAAAGGAAATAAAAATAAAAGCATCAAGCAATCCATTCACCTTCTTGAAATAGAAACTACCGATAAACTATTTTTTCCCCCCCCCCCCGGACAGCACAATTTCTCAACACACGCTCACATATCAAAAACCTGCAAACAACTCTTCTATGCAATGCAGGTAAGTCCTCAACTTATGACCACAACAGAGCCCAACATTTCTGTGGCGAAGAGAGACAGTTGTGAAGTCATTTTTTTTTTGCCCCAACGTACGACCTGTCTCGCCACCGTTGGTAAGTGAATCACTGCCGTTGTTAAATTAGCAACACGGTTGTTAAGTGAATCGGACTTCCCCGTTGACTTTGCTCGTCAGAAGGTCTCCAAAGGGGATTCACATGATCCCTGGGGGACCCTGCAACCGTCATAAGTATGAGTCAGTTGCCAGGTGTCTGAATTTTGATCGTGTGACCATAGAGATGCCGCAGCGGCCATAAGTATGAAAATGGCCATTTTTAAAAGTGCCATTGTAATTTCGAACGGTCACTAAATGAACTGTCGTAAGTCGAAGACTATCTGTAGTCAATTATTTTCAAAGAAGAATAACTGAATAAGAGTCTTTGGAGAAAAAAACTCAGAGCTGCTGTTTGCATCCCGGCAGAGCTGAGATCGTCTTCCCCAAAGTTGGGTCTGGATAACTATATTATAATTACACTTAACAAATTGCTTATGCTGGAGGAAAAGCACAGGTAGTCCTGGAGTTACGGCCATTTGTTTAGTGACCGTTTGAAGTTACCACGGCACTGATAAAAGTGACTCATGACCATTTTTCTCACTTACGACCGTTGCAGCATTCCCATGGTCATGTGATTTACAGTTGTATGCTTGGCTACTGATTCACATTTATGACGGTTGCATTGTCCAGGGGTCACGTGATCCCCTTTTGTGACCTTCTGACAAGCAAAGTCACGGTGGAAGCCAGATTCGCTTAACAACCATGTGACTAACTGAACTTTCACTCACTTAACAACTGTGGCAACAAATAGAATAGAATAGAATTCTTGGTTGGCCAAATGTGATCGGACACACAAGAAATTTGCCTCCGGGGCAAAGGTCGTAAAACGAGGCAAAAACGCACTTAGCAAATGTCTCACTTAGCAACATAAATGTAAGGTTCGGTTTGTGGTTGCAACTCAGAGACTATTTGTAAATGAAACTTCTGTCAATATTGTTCAATTTCCCAGGCACTCTAGCAGTCCTCCCTGCTTGAGGATGTACCTACCTTTGAGATTAGTTCATCGTGGTTGGCCAGGTGAGCCCTGCAATGGATGCAGCTGTACGTGCGATGGCACGAAGGCAGGTACGCTTGGAATGTCTTGGACCGGGTCATCTTCACCATTGGCGCCACCGAATGCTGCGTGAACTCGGAGGTGGCCCAGGAGGTCCTCCTACACGACGGGTCGCAGGGGAAACACTGGAGCACGCAGGTGAAGGCCGTGATTCGGCAGGGGGCAGGTGTGGCGCAGGCTCCACACACTGGCGATGACTTCGGGATAACAAAACCGGGCACGGGAACCAACCGACCCACGTAAACCTGAGCGGACAAAAGGATAAAAACAAGAATGGGTTTTCCAAACAACAGTCAGTGCGCGAATTAACTTTCAGCGTCCCAGTTTGGAGTAAGGTATCTCAGGTTGTTGCCATGTCAGCCTTCACCGGTAGACCCAGGTAAGAGCCCCGGTGGTGCAGTGCTTAGAATACAATATTATAGACTAACTCTGCCCACAGCCGGGAGTTCGATCCTGACTGGCTCAAGGTTGATTCAGCCTTCCATCCTTCCAAGGTCGATAAAATGAGGACCCAGATTGTTGGGGACAATATGCTGATTCTAATCCGCTTAGAGAGGGCTGTAAAGAGCCTTGGTGGTGCAGCGGACTAAGTGCTGTTATGTAGCACTTAGCTGCCAGCTGCCTGCAATTAGTGCGAGTTCAAATCTCACCAGGCTCAAGGTTGACTCAGCCTTCCATCCTTCCGAGGTAGGTAAATTGAGGACCCGGATTGTCGGGGCAATAAGCTGACTTTGTAGAAACACCGCTTATGGGGGGCCAAAAGCCCTAATAAGCAGGTGTATACAAAAGAATGAAGGCTATTGCTATAAGTGCATTGTAAGCATCCCTGAGTCTTCGGAGGAGGGAGGCATATAAATTGAACTAATAAACAAATTAAATAAATAAATAAAGCAGTATAAAGCGGCATATAAGTCTAAGTGCTATTTGCTTGCAAAGGAAGGAAGGAAGGAAGGAATCCGTGGTGGTACAGTGGTTATAATGCAGCATTGCAGGCTAACTCTACCCACAGCCAGGAAGTTCGATCCTGACTGGCTCAAGGTTGACTCATCCTTCCATCCTTCCAAGGTCGATAAAATGAGGACCCAGATTGTTAGGGGACAATATGCTGACTCTAATCCGCTTAGAGAGGGCTGTAAAGCAGTATAAAGCGGTATATAAATCTAAGTGCTATCTGCTTGCGAAGGAAGGAAGGGAGGGAGGGAGGGAGGGAGGGAGGAAGGAAGGAATCCGTGGTGGTACAGTGGTTATAATGCAGTATTGCCAGCTAACACTGCCCACAGCCAGGAAGTTCAGTCCTGACTGTCTCAAGATTGACTCAGCTTTCCATCTTCCAAGGTCGGTAAAATGAGGATCCAGATTGTTTGGGGGCAAGATGCCAACTCTCTAAACCGCTTAGAGAGGGCTGCAAAACACAGCGAAGCAGTTATATACTTGTCACTTCTCGTCTGGACTATTGTAACGCTCTCTACATGGGGCTCCCCTTGGGGTGCACCCGGAGGCTCCAACTGGCGCAGAATGCGGCCGCGCGGGGGATTATGGGAGCGACGGGGTGCTCCCATGTGACTCCTTTCCTGCGCGAGCTGCATTGGCTTCCGGTGGACTTCCGGGTGCGCTTCAAGGTGTTGGTGATCACCTTTAAAGCGCTCCATGGCTTAGGGCCGGGGTACTTACGGGACCGCCTTCTGCCACCAATTGCCTCCCACCGGCCAGTTCGCCCCAACAGAGAGGGCCTCCTCAGGGTGTCAGCTGGCAACCCCCAGGGGGAGAGCCTTCTCTGTGGTGGCACCTACCCTCTGGAACAATCTACCCCCAGAGATACGAGTGATCCCAGACCTCCGGACTTTTCGTCGGGCCCTAAAAACCTATTTTTTTCAGTTAGCCGGGCTGTCCTGATTTTATGGTTGGTTTTAAAATTTGATATGGATTTTAAGTGAAAAGTTTTAAATTACGGGCCAAATTTATTTAATTATTTTAAATCTATTTTTAACTTTTGTGTATAAATGTTTTTTATCTTGGCTGTTCACCGCCCTGAGTCCGAAAGGAGAAGGGCGGTATAGAAATCTGAAAAATAAATATATAAATAAATAAATATAAGCCTAAGTGTTATTGTTAGTGCTATGTATTTACGACGCTTTTGATGTCCCGAGATCATGTGATCCCTTTCTGCCACTGACAAGAAAAGTCGATGGGGAAGTCATTTCCTTATCAGAAGGGTCGTAAAGATGATCACGTGACCTCCGGGACACAGCAACCGTCATAAATACGTGCCGGTTACCAAGCAGCTGAATTTTACAGAGTTGGAAGGGACCTTGTAGGTCATCTAGTCAAACCCTCCGCCCAGCAAACCCGACACCATTTTTGACTGATGGCAGTCCAGTCCAGGGGTGAAATCTACTTACCTTCCCCACCTTCCCCACGTGCGCGCACGGACCTTCTGTGCATGTGCAGAGGGTAAAAAAAGAGTTTACTTCCTGGCTAAAACCAGGAAGTAACGACAACTGGGCGGGTGGGCGGAGCCTCGTGCTACCGTTGCTACCGGTTCCTCCGAACCATCCTCCGCCATCGCTACCGGGTTTGGCCGAACCGGTAGCATTTCACCCCTCTCTTCTTGAAAGTTTCCAGTGATCATATGAACACAGGGCAGTGGTGGGTTCCTCGCGGTTCGGTCCGGTTCGGCCGAGCTGGTAGCGGTGACGATATGACGTCACCGAACCGGTTCTCCCCCCCCCGCCCTCGCACTCCCCCACGTTATTCTTACCTTTTATTTGGCCCCACCCCCAATCTATTGCTGCCTCCTGAGTCCCAGCTGATGACTAGAGGGAAAAAAAACTGTTTAAACTCTTGCCGCGGGGCTTCAAAGGGCCGCCCTACAGCTGATCAGTGTTAAAAGCGAACAAATGAGTTGGGTTGTAAGTGCAAGGACTGGTCGTAAGTGCGAGGACCTTCCAGAAATGACTGACCAGCTAGACACGCCCACCTAGTCACATGACTCTGACCTCCAAGCCACACCCACAAAATAAGCCACGCCCACAGAACCGGTAGTAAAAAAATTTAGAACCCACCCCTGACACAGAGGAGCTGCAATGGTTGAAAATATAAACAAGAATCATAACTCCCTTTTTTCAGTGCTGTTATAGCTTTGAATGGTCACTACACAAATGGTTGTTTAAGTCAAGGGCTACTTTTATTTGACTTCCTTTGAAAGGGGAATCCCCCGAAACCGGATCAAGGAAAGAAGAGGGAGAAACTGACTTGCCCCCTTGCCTGGTACAATCCGATCAGTTTTCTTTCAAAGGTGACGGGAATCAGTTCTGGCTTTGCTGACATTTTTCCACCATGATACCCATCGCAAGGGCTGGCTTTGCACAACAAGTTGGGCCAGGTCAGTGTAGCCCTCAGGCTGTGTGGTTGCACAAAAATATTGAATTTGGTTCGTTTCAAGCTCGTTTTTTGAGCTTGGTCTGTTGGGCAATTCTGTACTTGTGGCTTGATTACGCTTCAGAATTTTGTGGACCTTAGAAAAGTGGGCCAATCTGGGCACTTGTGTTTGTGAAGGAAACCGAGGGAGAGAGGAAGGGAGGAAGAAGAAAGAGAAAACAGGAAGGAAGGAAGGCAAGAGAAAGAAAGAGAGAGACAGAGAGAGAGAGAGAGAGAGAGAGAGAGGGAGAAAGAAAGAAAGAAAGAAAGTGAGAGAGAAAGAAAGAAAGAAAGAAAAAGAAAGAAAGAAAGAAAGGGAGGGAGGGAGGGAAGAGAAAAACAGAAAGGAAAGAGGGAAGGAGGGAAAGAAGGAAGGAAAAAACAGGCAGTTGGAGAAGAAGAAAGGGAGAGAGGGAGGGAGGGAAAGAGGACAACAGGAAGGAAAGATGGAAGAAGGAAAAGAGGGAAAATAGAGGAACGAAAGATGGAAAGATGCAAGGAAGGTAGTTAGAGGGAGGGAGGGAGGGAAGACAAAAACAGAAAGGAAAGATGGAAGGAGGGAAAGAAGGAAGGAAAAAACAGGCAGTTGGAGGAAGAAGAAAGGGAGAGAGGGAGGGAGGGAAAGAGGACAACAGGAAGGAAAGATGGAAGAAGGAAAAGAAGGAAAAGGGGGAAAATAGAGGAAGGAAAGATGCAAAGATGCAAGGAAGGTAGTTAGAGGGAGGGAGGGAGGGAAGAGAAAAACAGGAAGGAAAGATGGAAGGAGGGAAAGAAGGAAGGAAAAAACAGGTAGTTGGAGGAAGAAGAAAGGGAGGGAGGGAAGAGAAAAACAGGAAGGAAAGATGAAAGGAGCAAAGGAAGAAAGCAAGCAAAGAAGGAAGATGAAGGAAGGAAGGAAGGAAGGAAGGAAGACAGATTTCTTACAACCACATGGCCTCACCGTAGCAAGCAAACCCACTAACACATCCTCCAAAACATCCTAAGACTAAGTAAACCAAAAAACCAGCAACTCCAAAAGAAAAAAACAGGACTTATCTACAACAGGGGTTCTCAACCTCTGGTCCATGAACTGGTACCAGTCTGTGGCCTGTTAGGAACCAGTACAGACCACTAAGCTGGTGGTGAGCGGCACGCAAGCAAAATTGCAACATGTGCGAGATTCTAGGTTGCACCCTCCTCTTGCGTCCCGGTCTATGGAAAAATTGTCTTCCACAAATCCCATAATCCCTGGCGCCAAAAGGAATGCAACCTGCAGTGTAAGCCACTTTGTAGACCAAACAGGCAGAAGACGTCCATGAACACCAACAAGCCGTCAGAAGATATGATGAAAACTCTTTCATTGCACAACGAATGGACAGACCGAACTATAGTTTCAACTGGGAAACCGTGAGCCTCCTACACCAAAGCCAAGTCCAAAAACTTCAGTGAATTTCTAGAAGTTTGGCACTCAGCTATCAACAGGCGCATTCAGATAAGCAACATTTACACACCATTCAAAACAGACACTGTAATCAAAAAGCCAAAACGTCTCTTTCCCAGTAATCTACACTCAGCTAAGCAGAGATGAATATCAAAATTAACACTAGGCCATCCACCGAACTCTAAACAATAACCCAAATCAAGAAACTCCCAAACTCAGAGCCTTGGTAGTACAGTGGTCTAAAGCACCCTGTTATTAAGACCAGCTGCTTGCAATTACTGCAAGTTTGAATCTCATCAGGCTCAAGGTTGACTCAGCCTTCCATCCTTTCTAAGGTAGGTAAAATGAGGACCCAGATTGTGGGGGCAATAAGCTGACTTTGTATAAATATACAAAAGGATGAAGGCT